GGTATGCTACAAGGAGATCTAAACATTAAGTATATATAATTCTCTACACACGCAAAAAATTACCAGTACAAATTAGTATTTATGGTAAACTAATTAACTAATTCTTTACGATTGCTTCACTTTCTTACCACTATACTTTTGAATTAATATATGTGACGTCTAAGCTAATTTAAAAACTAGCAAGTCTAAATCTATATTAAACCTACATATCGATAAAACAAACCCACGCGTAGCGTGAGTATAAAATCTAGTAGACTATGAAAAATTCTAGGGCAATGTGATATGCAGAATTGATTAAAAAAATTGGTTGAACTTGACAAATTTCAAATCATTTTTTGATATATGTCATATTTTATCAATTTTTACTATGTTTTTTAATAGATTTTTAATAAATAAATAACTTGGTTTTACTATTTAATGCTATTTTTAGTATTTTTCGTGGGTTTAAAATCTTTGTAGGTGACTCACCAAAAAAAAAAAAAAAATCTTTGTAGGTAATTGGAATATTTTGGGTCTAAAAGGAGGGGAAACAATTTTTTTAAAAGAAATAATATATTCTGTCCGTCAGATATTTCGCCTCAGATGAAAATGTTTCCATTGTTGGATCGGGCTCAAATTTGGCCACGCGTTAGACAAGGATCTCAGCTTCACATATCATATTCGATTGTATAAATCCGACGGTGCGATATGAAGATGCGCTCAAAATACGGAAAACAGTCATATTTCCAAAGCTTCGAAAAATATCCCTAAAAGTCATCACCACCTTCACAACCACCGCCATATTTACAAATTTTCTTTGGGGGAGACCCTTTGGCTCGAACTCTTTAGTTTTAGGGTTTTTATCGAGCTTTTACGTATTGATCATCAAGGGAAAAATCCTCCAACATTTGTACCAACAGAAAGAACCTTTCTAAACTCTTTTTATTAATACTATCTTTTCATTCTACTCTTGTAATGATCTTCAGTTCTATGATTGAGTAGTTTGATTGTTGGGTTTAAGAGGTTTTCAAGGAGAGTTATTCATGGATCGATAAATAGGAATATTTCATGCTTAGAAATTTAGTGGAATCTTCATCTATACTTTGATCTCCTGCATATTGCTAGCTTAACCAACTTGTGAGTTTATCTAGATTGATCTTTGCGAGTTTGATTCTTATCATTGCGAGAGTCGTGTTAGGATCTTTACGAGTTTGATCCTTATTATTACGAGAGTCATGTTAGGGAGTCATGATTGATTGCTTGGAACTAGTATAGATGCGCATGAACTTTATCATTGCGAGAGTCGTGTTAATGATCAAGTTAAAATATCGAATCTTAATCTCTTTTATGCATATCATCCATCTATTTACTTTGCGAGATTCGAGTATTTAGGTTGATTGATATATTAGTCTTTATTGCTAGAGCCGGTTGACTATATTATTAAGTGAATTCGAGTTAGGAATCCCCTTTTGTTAGATTTACATTGGATAAGTTTTGTATCAACTTCTGCAGCATGCTTACCTTTTCACTTTCATAACCTGAATGAATTAGGTTATTAGACATGTTTAATCATTGATATAAGAATACTATGGTTAGTTTACGACTGGTTTGCTACTTAACTATATCCTTGTTAGTAGTTCCGGAATAAATTGATCCATGAACTTTGAGATTCCTTGCTGCCCAACGTTTGTTTCCATTGCTTTATTATCGACATTCATTTAATTACATCATCACAAACCCCATATTTCATCCTAGCTTAATTGTCTTCCAAAAACCTTTTTAGTGTCCAAACAGTCTCTAATAGATTCGACCCTTAAGTACCACTTTAATCGCCATGCACTTACGGTTTGTCTTTATCTAGTGTAAGGTAAAACTAGATACTCATCAGTTTTACAAACAAACCGTAAAATAAATTGTGTATCTATGCAAGGAAGAGTGTTGTCGTTGAAGAGGAAAGCTTCTCTCACACTTACCGTAACGTTTGTTCAAGATGTGCAAATTGTCTATTAAACCGATTGGTACCACTACATTTTCATTTGGATTACAAAAGTATTTATCTTACTTCTCATAACTTGTAGTTAATTTGGAACACATTAACTCTAATACGTGAGCACTAACCAATAACAATTGCTAAAAAATATAGTTAAGAGAGTGTCACAAAATTGCTACCCTTGGCGAGGTTAAAATCAATGAAATAGTCTTTGTTGGTTAACATCCCTGTGAATAACATATTTCACACTGCAAAGAAAAAAAATAGAGTTGGTTAGTAGAGTGATTGAAATATGAATGCCCTGAAATTTTCAATTATAATAAATTTAGCATTACCTGCTTATAAAAACTTGACAAAATTTTGTTAAATCGAGTATGTCTAAACATGTTTAGTAGATCACTGGTGAATTACCTACGTCCTAAGATCGCTACTCTACAACTAATAATATCTTTCAATTACAAAGATAAATTCTTTATTGGAGAATAATCTCGTAATTTCAGCGAATTGTAGATCTTCAAAAACATATGAGAGTTTATGCTACCAAATAAAATTCAAACAATCAATCTTGATTCATACCATAATCCAAGAAAGGACTGTGACACATTTGAAAGAAGGGTTGAGGGTTTTTTACTTAGTAAGAAGATCCTTGTGGTTAGAGGAAACCACGATGGTTTTACAGAGGAATAGGAATCATCTTCGTCGATATATCTTTTGGCTTGGATTGACAGGTGATATGTCGAATACGCGCACATCGCCAAAAGAGATGCGCCACAATTGATTTCTCATTCTTCCATTTAAGCGCCAACTGCATAATTAATCATATTAAATGTTCAGATATATTCAAACATCATCATGAACCACCTATATATACAATTTTGTTATTCATTAGACAATCCAGATATGTTAATAACATAATGTTTATAACTCCAATGAACCCATTAAACAATCACCATATATATATAAAATATAACTGTTGTGTCCATATTTTACCTCTCTATGCAAATAACTAGTTTCGTATACTCTCAATTTTTATCAATAATTGTAATAGCAATATGTGTTTATCCGCCTAACAGGATCTAACAATCTAATTATTCAGTTATGTCAATAACATCATTAGCACACCTAAAGATCCATTAACATATTAGGTTATACCTCATGTAGAAGGTCCTCAAATCTTAATGGCAACACCTCTCAATTACCTACGTTTTAGCCTTCAATGTCCCTAATCGGTCTTAGAATTGTAAGGCCTAGGTTCCCGATATTAAAACTTTTGCTTGGAAACCTTTTTTTGTTTTGTTTTTCCAACCGGAAACCTCCATTATTATGGGGAAAATTCAGAAAAATACATGAACTTAATTTAATTTGCTTAAAAGATACACAAAGTTTTGGGCTTTCCAATTTATACACCAATTAATTAACATTATCTTTTATATACTCTAATTTTTACAATTCGTTAGTTCTACTACATAGACGATAACAATGTTAACCCAACTAACATAAATTTATAAACGTTGTTAGTTTTAATTAACACATGTTAATAGTTGTAATAATTACTGGTTTAGCCATTCTACTTCTTCTTCCCCAAATCGATTTGGGATTCAGAAAACTAACTCATTCTTCACCAGAAATTGATTTCGGATTCGAGGAGATTGAACATGGTTTTTATTGTCTAAAGGAGAAGAAAGCAACCGGTGAATACGTCATAGAGAAATTGGAGAAAATGAGGAATTGTGTGTTAAAAAAAAATTATCTTTTTTTTTCTTTTCCATGAGGATGCCATTTCATGTCGAGTGTATGGGAATTCATGTGTGGTTTGATTTTGTTTATGATATTGTGTAGATTGTTCTATTTTGTGTTTGATATTATAGACTGTC